AAGAGGAGCCAGAAACAAGATGTGGTTTGCCAGGCTATTACAGAGTTAAAATCTGGGTAGTGAAATTGTTTTGTTTTTGTTTTTAAACACTAAGGGACCAAGGGCACCTGGGTAGCTCAGTCTGTTAAGCATTTGCGTTTGGCTCAGGCCATGATCCCTGCGTTCTGGGATCGAGTCCCACATCAGGCTCCCTCCTCATTGGGGAGCCTGCTTTTTCCTCTCCCTCTCCCCCTCCCCCCAATCGTGCTCTCTCCCTCTCTCTCAAATAAATAAATAAAATCTTTTAAAAAATATAAACACCCAGGGGCCGGTATTTTTCTCTTATTTAATTTTTTACAAAGTTTATTTTTTTAGTATTCTCTGCACGCAATGTGGGGCTCGAACCCACAACCTCGAGATTAAGAGTTGCATACTCTTCCGACTGAGCCTGCTAGGCACCCTTCCATTTTTTTTTTGTTTTGTTTTGTTTTTTAGTTTGGGCAGTTCTGTATTCGTGGAAAATTTTAAAGAAAGCACGTGGTTTTTTTACAATTTAAGAAGAGAGAAAGCAGGGCAGGGGCAGAGGCTATGTGACTTGGCACCAACAACATATAGCAAATAAGGGAGAAGAAGGAATCTAAGCCAAAGGCATGCTGGGAGTGGGAAGCCCTATTAAAAGAGCCTAGAGGGGTGTCTGGGTGCCCCTGCCTTCAGCTCAGGTCATAATCTCAGGGTCCTGGGATTGAGGCCCACATTGGCCTCTCTGCTCAGCAGGGAGCCTGCTTCCCCCCCTTCTCTGCCTGCCTGGTTGTGATCTCTCTCTCTTTGTGTCAAATAAATAAAATCTTAAAAATAAAATAAAAGCGTAGACATGACAGCCCTGAGACTAGCTACATGTACTAGCTAGATAGTAACTACGCACACACGAGGAAAGGGAAAGAATGTAATAACGGGGCCTAGGAATTATCCTGAGGTAGAAAGAAGATTTCACAATCTTGCCTTTTTGTTCTGGTGTCTCCCGGGGCCTGCCACGGTGCTCAGTGATGCCACTCACTTCTTGGAGACTTACTGTGGGGCCAGACATAGTGCGATAAACACTTTATATCACAGATCACCTCAATGCCTTCAGTTTCTCTCTCTCTAATATAACTTACATATAGCTGCTGAATCACATTTCCTCAACGGCCGATCATGCCCGGCCGCTACCAGGCCATCAGCAACACGCCCTGCCCCAGAGAATAGTGTCTGAAATCCTCAGTTTGGCAGCTAAGAGCTTTCTTGGGGTGACCCTCACTCACCTGTCCAGCATTGTCTCACACTGCTACTTTTCCCACACAGTTAGTTCCTTGCCTGTGAGTATGTGTCCATTAACCCATCCGGGGAGCACTCACTGACCACCGGCTACATGTCAGACACTTTTTAGGTGTCAGGAAGAGAACGGTAGACAAGAGAAGTGCCTCCCTCCTCTCATGGAGCTTACCCAAACAAGCGATAAAGGAGAAGCTGTCAGACAGGTGTATGGATTTTGATGACAATAAGAGAGGTTAATGGGATAGTGAGTGCAGGGAGACGAGGACTGACTTAGGTGGGGACAGTCAGGGAAAGTCTCTGCAAGGAGGTGAATTTCAGGCTAAAAGCTGGTTGGCAAAGAGGAACCTAAGCAAAGATGTGGGCAAGGAACATTCTGGGGCAAGGCGTCTGTTAGGACCAAAGCTCTAAGGTGTGTACAAGCTTGGTGTGATCAAGGAATGGAGGGAAAGTGAGAAGGAAGGTGATTTCAGAGGAGGCTGTGGGGGCGGGGGGGGGGTGTTAGATCAAGGGGGGCCTTGTAGGTCTGGTTGAAGATTTGGGTTTTTATCCGAAAAGCAATGGGAAGCTGCAGACAGGTGATGTGATGTGACTCGAGTTAAAATTTTAAATGATTACTTCGGTTTCTATGAGAAGGAATTAGAGCAAAAACAAAATCAGGGAGATCAGTTAGGAGATGAAGGCAGGAACTCAGAAAATATGGTGGTGGTTGTTTGGAGCTGGGGAGTGGCAATGGGGATGGAGGTCTGACACAGGTTTGAGAGCAATCAGCGAAGTAAAATTGTTAGGGCTTGGTGAGGATGAGGATTTTGAAGTGACAGAGAGAGGAAATGTGGAGTATTGCAAAATGCCAATGGCCCAGGCATAGGTTAGAAACAAAGGGAAAACAAGGAAAGGCAGCTACCTCAACCCTCACCACTAGCATTTAAATATTCCTGCTTGGGGCGCCTGGGTAGCTCAGTGGGTTAAAGCCTCTGCCTTCAGCTCAGGTCAGGATCCCACGGTCCTGGGATCCAGCCCCATATCAGGCTTTCTGCTCGGCAGGGGGCTTGCTTCCCCCACTCCCTCTGCCTGCCTCTCTGCCTACTTGTGATTTCTGTTTGTCAATTAAACAAATAAAATCTTTAAAAAAACAACATACAGATCGTATTTGATTTAGAACAATACCTAGGCAGATAAAAGAGAAGAAGATGGTATACTCTCATATTATCCTGAAAAGGAGGCAGAATCATTCCCTGCTAATAGGGACGTGGCTTCTTCTCCTGCTTCAGGCAGGACAGTCCTGGCAAGTATGAATTGGCAAGCTGGAGTCCATCCCTGACTAAGGAATCACTCAAGTACTTACTGAACTCTTTTATACACTGTTTGATGGCAGAACCGGACAAACTGGAGGGTAGTAAGGCAGGAGAAAAACAAGGGAGTACCTTAGAAAAGTTGTGAGATTTATGCAGTTATAAATGTCCAGAAACAGTCTCTCAGGGGACGGGACTCCGAAATCTAAGGCATGGGGCTGAAATCCAGGCAGTAATATTTAAAAACTGAGGGAATTCTAGTAAAACAGCTAGGGTGGGGGTACTTGGCTGGCTCCGTTGGTTAAGTGTCTGACTTTTTTTTTTTTTTTTGAAGATTTTATTTGTTTGAGAGAGAGGGATAGAGGGAGAGAGCATGAGCAGGGGGAGGGATAAAGGGTGAGGAAGAAGCAGACTCCCCACTGAGCAGGGAGCCCCAACATGAGGCTTGATCCCAGGACTCGAACTCAGGACCCCAGGATCATGAACTGAGCCAAAGGCAGATGCTTAACCAACTGAGCCACCCAGGCGCCCCTAAGTGTCTGACTCTTGATTTGGGCTCAGGTAGTTTGAGCCCCATGTTGGGCTCCCCACTCAGTGGGGAGTCTGCCTGTCTCCCTCTCCCTCTGCTCTCTGTCTCTCTCAAATAAATAAATAAATAAATCTTAAAAACAACCACCACCACCACCCACCTAGTGTGCTGTTCCTATATAAACTGTAGTTTGGGGAAACCAAAGAATTGGGAAGAGGGAGTTCTCCTTATAGAAGTATTTCAGCTAATAAATGAAGAAGGAATAAATTATGGAAATAAAACATCACCATTTGGCAAATGCAAATGGCCTGAGGGCTACCAACATCATGAGATAAAATCATACCATGTACTTCCTGGTAGAAGGACACGAGATCACCATGGAGTATTCTTACCTCTCGAAATCTGAATCTGATCATGTTTATACATCCAAATACCAATATTAGGAGAGCAGAGGAGGGGTGGCTGGCTCAGTCGGGGGGGCACATGCCTCTTGGCTCTTGATCTTGGGGTTGTGAGTTTGAGCCCCATGTTGGGTGTGGAGACTACGTTAAAGAAATAAAATATTTTTTTAAAAAAGAGAGGGGAGCTGAGGATAGAGGGTCATGTTAAAAGACCCCAGAGGATGGAAGTGGACGAACACAGAGCTGGGGGAACACTACAGGACAACCAGGTTTCCTCAACAAATAAGTTATAAGAACAGAGACAGAGGAAGAGGGGAGCAGATCAAGACATGTAAGGAACATACCAACAGATGGATATGGAGACCTTATTTGGATTTTGATTCAAACAAACTAAAAATGACAAAAGCAAAAAAACGTAAGATAACCAGGGACATGTGAACATTGACTGAAATATTTGATGATACTGTGAATCACTGCTCATTTTCTTTCAAGAGCAATAATAGTATTGCGGCTGTGTTTAATAGAAGAGACACCTTTTACAGCAGTGGTTCTCAAAATCAGAGCATACGTCACATCGCCTGGAGGGCTTATTAAAACACGTACTGCTGAGCTCCACCCCTAGTTTCTGATTCAGCAGGTCTGGAGTGGGAACTTAGAATGTGCATTTCTAGCAAGTTCGCAGGTGACACTAAGGCTACGGGTCTGGGCTCACGCTTTGAGAACCACGGCACTGGGTTAAGCGGATTTTAAAAATCTGATTACTCTTTCAAAGAAAGAGCTGAGGTTATCAGCTGAGTTCTATCCCCCTGGGTTACAGCTCTCAGACAGGATTCCATATAATGAAAGAGAATGAACTCTTGTTAAAAGGCTCACGTAATAATTTAGTCTGTACTGCCACAGGAAGGCGTGAAAAGAACACCTTCAGATCAATTTTCTGTCCGAGTGTGACACACCCAGCTCCCTCCTTAAGCACCTGCGTCTGCCCTTCCCCTTCTCACTCCCCGGCACAGGATCCCTTAAAGCTCCCTGGAACTTGGGCCACATCCCTCCATCATTTCCAAATTCAAAATGAGTTGATGCATATAATCTGAGGCATCCAGTCCTACACGGAGTGTCTCACTTCTGAGACACAGAACTGTCCCGTTCTGTGCTCTTGTAGAGGGGACTTGCTGCCAAATGTTGGCTCTTCTGTCCCCTGTGTGACCCACAATGCGTCATTTGGCGATTTGGGGCCTTAGGTTTTCAACAGGTAAAGAAAGAAATCTGTGATTATGAGAGAAAAGGGGGCACCTGGAGAAATATTAGCCAGAGTTCCTTGGAGGAAAGACATTTCCAACAATACTAGAAAACTGCACTTTACAGACATCATGACTTTATAATTTAACAACAAAGTGCTTGTGTGTGTGTGCGCACGCGCACGTGCATTAGATCCTCACAACAACCTTGTGAGGTAGGTAAGGTAGAGGCCGAGAGGAGGTAAAGTCTGGCCAAATTAAATGTCAGGGCCAGAGCTCCAACACCTCACCTTCTTAATGCAGTCAGTGTTCTTTCCAACACACTGCCTTCCCTCAATTCATTTCTGCTAAATATAGGAATGTGCTAGTGCATAAAATGATTAATCTAAAAACATCAGGCTTGCGTTAACTTAAAACTACAGGGCCCACGAACCAGGTGATTAGAAAACAGGAGCGCTTTCCTTCAGCTAATTGCCAGGAAGGATTCTTGTAATATTTAGCGTCTCAGCGGTTTTGCTTCCATAGTTTTATAGTCCTCTCCCAGCCTCCTCTGGCTTGTTGATCGTGGGGTATTTTCTATGCCTCCGATGGCAGCAAGCCTCCAGTGGGAGTACTTCATACCCTGCTGTGCAAAGAGCTTCTGAAATTCTTTCAGCCTTGAAGTCACAACACCACAAACATCCTCTAGGAGAATTCTGCCTTGTCACAGCGATGAGACATCTGGTGACTAACGTCTGCAAAGCACTGGATAGGGAGAGTGTTTTCTGCTTTATTACATCTTTGTGTTCATGGCCCAGATCCTCTAGCTGCAATCTAATTACTTGCGAGTTCTGGCCTTGTAGGGCTGTGCTAATGAATTTCTTAGTGAATCATAAGGCTAATAAAGGTATTGAGGACTTTTTAAGGGCCCGGTGTTTTTTAGTATTAAGGGCTTATAAGAGCTCAAATATTAATCACTAATAGTGATAGTGTGGCCCCACGTATCTCACTCCTCTTTCCGTAATCAAGCATCATCAGCCAAACTCATGTTTCCGTAAGGTCAGTTAAAAACACTGAAGGAATGCCTTTTGTATTCAGATCATTATTTGTGGCCTATGGGTTTATCCTTACCATTAAAGTTTAGGAAAAGGCCCAGCTTGAGCCACTGATGTCCATGTTCAGGCTTTCTCTACATGGAGCACCCAGAGGCAGCAGAAATGAAAATCTGGAAAGGGGCAGAAGAACCACTACAAACCATTTCCTAGATCAAATGGGTATTTTGATGGCATAAGAGATGTGCTTTCTGACGGAAGCTCTTGTCACATCTATTGCACTGGAAAGGTTTTTCTCCTGTATGTGTTCTCTGGTGTGTGAGAAAATGGGAACGCTGATTGAAGGTTTTGCCACACTCAGGACAGTGATAGGGTCTGTCTCCTAAGTGGATTCGTTGATGGGTAATGAAATGGGAGCTCTGGTTGAAGCTCTTCCCACACTCACCACATTTGTAGGGTCTTTCCCCCGTGTGGATCCGTTGGTGCTTTATGAGGGCAGAGCTGTCGGCGAATCCCTTCCCACAGCTGGCACACTTGAACGGCCTCTCCCCTGTGTGTGTCCTCTGGTGCGTGACCAGGTGTGAGCTCTGACTGAAACTTTTGTGGCAGTCAGGACAGCTGAAAGGCCTTTCTCCTGAGTGAGTACTCATGTGCGCTACAAAGTGAGAACTATCTCTAAAGCCCTTCCCACACTCTGGGCACTTAAAGGGCCGTTCCCCTGTGTGGGTTCGCTGGTGCTTAACCAAGTCTGAGCTCTGGCTAAAACTTTCCCCACAATCACCACACCTATAAGGCTTCACTCCCGTGTGGGTCCTCTGATGGGTGATGAAGTTTGAGCTTCGACTAAAGCTTTTATGGCATTCGAGACACGTGTAGGGCTTCTCTCCTGTGTGGGTTCTTTGGTGCATTATGAGGTGTGGCTTCCGCCCAAAGGTCTTTCCACACTCTGGGCATTCATAGGGTCTCTCACCTGTGTGGGTTCTCTGGTGTTTGATGAGCGTAGAGCTGTCGCTGAATTTTTTCTCACACCCGCTGCACTGGTAGGGTTTCTCTCCTGTGTGTGTTCTGCGATGGGTGACAAGGTCTGAACTCTGTTTGAAGCCCTTCCCACACTCGATGCATTTATAAGGCCTCTCACCAGTATGGGTTCTCAGGTGTCTTATGAGATAGGAGCTCTGGTTGAAGCTTTTTCCACATTCTGCGCACACAGGCTTCTTTCCCACATATCCGTCCAGCAGCTTGTTTAAATCCTTCTCCTGTGGAAGGGGCTCCGGTTGGCCCTCTCCTGGTAGGGTTCCATGTTGCCCTTCGAATTCAAGGTCCCTCTCCCAGTTTCCTCCCCATCTAGGATGATGAGAAATATCTTTATTGGCCCTTTCTGAGGATGTTCCACATCGTTCTGCTATTTCTGAAATGTCCTGATTGAGTTTTGTCACCTGATTCTCAAAGTCTGAAAAATGAACAAAAGTCACGGGGAACAAAGTTAACCAGTTATCGGGACAAAGCATCAGAAGGCAGTAAGAAAGATTGAGATTAGTGCTTTGGCAACAGACTACACTTAATTTGACTTTGCATAAAGTTTTCACTTTGGGAAAAGGTTTTTTTTTTTAATTTTTTATAAAGATTTTATTTTTAAGTAATCGCTACACCCAATGTGGGGCTCAAACTCACAACCCAGAGATCAAGAGTTGCATGCTCTACTGACTGAGTCAGCCAGGAACCTCTCACTTATGAAAAGTTTATTGAAGTTCATTAAGCTTACAGAAAACATAAATTCCTAAACCCTTTTAAAGATGAATCTTGGGGGACACCCTGGGTGGCTCAGCCGGTTAAGCATCTGCCTTTAGCTCAGGTCATGATCACAGGGTTCCTGGATTGAGCCCTGCATCGGGCTCCCTGTTCAGCAAAGAGTCTGCTTCTCACTTTCCCTCTGCCTCCCCACTGGCTCATGCTCATTTGCTCTCTCTCTCTGTCAAATAAATAAATAAAATCTTAAAAAAAAAAAAAAAGATGAATCTTGAGGGACGCCTGGGTGGCTCAGTCAGTTAAGCATCCAGCTCTTGATTCTGGCTCAGATCATGATCTCAGGGTCCTGGGATCGAGTTACATTTGGGGATCTATACTTATCAGGGAGTCTGCTTGAGGATTCTCTCCCTCCCTCTTCTCCTGCCCCTCCTCCCACCCGCACACACTTTCTATCTCTGTAAAATAAATCTTTAAAAACAAACAAACAAAAAATAAATAAATGAAGACTTAAGGGCACCTGGCAGGCTCAGTCGGAAGAGCACGTGACTCTTGATCTTGGGGTTATGAATTCGAGCCTCATGTTTGGCATATAAAGTTTACTTAAAAAAAATAAAATGAAGATTTTATTTGTTCAATTACTGATTGCCCAAGAAGTCAAATTTAAACTTCTAATAGTGAGAACAAAAGTCTATTGCAGCATTCCAATTTCTTCATCTAAACAAGGGCTGAGGGTGCCCGGTGGCTCAGTCTTTAAGCATCTGCCTTTGGCTCAGGTCATGATCCCAGAGTCCTGGGATCGAGCCCTACATCGGGCTCTCTGCTCAGCGGGGAGTCTGCTTCTCCCTCTACCCCTGGCCCTCCCCATCTCCCATGCTCTCTCTCTCTTTCAAATAAATAAAAACAAAATCTTAAAACAACAACAACAACAACAAAAACAAGAAACCCAGGTTGAAATGCTAGATTTCCTCCCACGGGGTAATATCCACATCTCACCCGTGTGACTTTCCCTTACGATCTTCCTTGCCTCGAAGTTTTGGAGTGGTAGCACCCACGGCTCTTCCTTCTGCTCCAGCTGGGAGATTACACCTGTACTGGCAAGTCTATAAAGGAAGGTGAATGTAGGATATTAATCTGAGCCAACCACACAATGCTTGACCAAAAATGCAAGCCCTTCTCCTTCCCTAAGTAGAGGAGAAAGCCCAGGGAGATGCTAAGCTAATGTGTGTTTGATCTCATTGAAAGGATTGCCATGATGGAGTGATAAAAAAGGGTGATTTCCCCAAGAGGCTGAGAAAATAGCCCCTTTCCTCCCATTAAAACAGTTAACAACAAAAACAAAACAAGGAGACTTGGGTGATAGAAAGTCCAGAGTAAGCACAATAATTAATCTCTGAAGCCACAAGGCTAAAGCCATGTAGAGAGATAATTTTATCAGCAACAATGCTGCCATGACCTCACCCTTAGAAGGAATCAGGGAAGTTAACTATAATGTTGGGCTTTAAACTTTTCCCAGAAGGACAGCAGTAGATACAGACATGCATGAGAAAAAGACAAAAACCTGTAAGAAAAAAAAAATGGGCAAAGGATACAAATAGGCAATTCACACACACACACACACACACACACACACATAAATGTATAAATACGTGAAAATCTTTATAAAGATGTTAAAAATCTTTAACCTTACCATTAACCAACTATAAATATGTGAAAAATCTTTAGCCTTACCATTAATCAAAGAAATTCAAATAAAAACAGACCATACAACATGGAGATAAAGAGTGCAACCACCATAGTTTCAATCTTAACCCTCCCTCTTACGAGCTGTGTGACTTCAGGAAAGTGACTTAAACTCTCTGTGTCTTGGGGTCTTCCTCTGTAGACTAGGGATAATGATAAGACCTATCTCATAGGAGATTAAGTTTAAGTCCTCAAAAAATGTTCGCTGTCACAATTATTTAACCCAGACTCTTAAACTATAATACCTACAAGGATAGGTAAAATGTAAAGAAATGGACACTTTCATATAATGCTTACAGGAATAAATAATTCAATCTTTTTGGAAGGAATTTGGCAAAAATATGAAATACCTCAGAAATGTATCTATTCTTTGATCTAGCAATTCTAATTCTGGGAATTCTTTTTTTTTTTTTTTTATAAGATTTTATTTATTTCTTTGACAGACAAAGATCTCAAATAGGCAGAGGGGCAGGCAGAGATAGAGGAGGAAGCAGGCTCTCTGCCAAGCAGTGAGCCCGATTTGGGGCTGGATCCTAGGACCCTGGGATCATGACCTGAGCCGAAGGCAGAGCCTTTAACCCACTAAGCCACCCAGGCGCCCCAAATTCTGGGAATTCTAAGGAAATAAAAAAAGTTAAAATAAAAAGTTGTGGGATTCCTGGTTGGCTCAGTTGAAAGAACATGTGATTCTTAATGTCAGTTGTGAGTTTGAGCCCCATCTTGGGGCTAGAGATAACAACAACAACAACAACAAAATAATAATAATAGTAATAAAACTTTAAAAAAAAGTTGTGGAAAAGATATATTAGCTAATTACTAACTAAGTATATTTGAATAAATAAGACCTAAAAAAGAAAGACAGCTAAGAGATGGTCATCACAATACTGGTGAAGATCTGGAAATGACCTAAATGTCTCATGACAAAGGAATAATCATATTTGACTAAGCTACATGAAACTGCCATTGTACAAGCTAAAAAGTGGTTTAAAAATGGTCAAGTATACAGTTCAATCTAACGGAAGAAGTTATCATATTCCATTCAATAAATTACTAAGTAGTTATTTTAAGCAAGGTATAGAAAACTATTGTTGTCAATATATATTCACAATACATTATGTAAAAAAGATACACAGCTGAACATACAAGTATGATCCCAATTTTTTTCTTTTGCTTTTGTTAATTATATACATCTTTAGAACCATGCTGGAAAGATAGTAATTCTTCAGTCGTGGGATGGAGTGGGACTTTGGTTTCCATTTTGTGTCTCTTTTTCTTCAAGGGGCATATACTACTCATGAAGTAAAGCAAGGAGAAGGGGTAGCTGTTGTACTTTAGAAAAAGCACTGGAGGTTTGTTTTGTCTGTTTTTGAAGTGACAGGAAAAAACACAGCTCCCCCTTTGCCACAAAGACCTGGGTTGGACTCTCACCTCTGCCACTTAACTCTGAGTCTCAGGGTCCTGACCTGAAAGAGGGGGACAATAATAACCACATCAAAGAGTTATGGTGAGATATTAACAAGACAATAAATATCAAAGATATCTGCAAGCCATAAAGTGCCATAAAAATGGAAGTCATTAAAAAAAAAAAAAAGTGGAAGTTATTCTTTTTCTACAAGGGAGGCAACAAAGACTCTCAGAGAGCTGGTGCTCTAAGAGACCAGCATCCCTAGAGACTGCTCGGACCCGGACAGTCTCACAATATCTAAGTCTGAAATCTAAAGGAGAGTAGCAGCCTTACCCTTTGAGAGCCCATTCTTCTAACTCTGCTGGGTGGTACCCCTGAAGAGGATTCTCTAAGCGGTGTCCAGGTAACCCATTCTTCCCTGAAGTCCTCAGCCACATCATTGAGAGTCATCAGTTCCTAAAGCAAGAGACCTCAGTATGCATCAAAAGCTCTCTGGACATTCTAATCATTGTCTCAAAACCAAAAGACAGCCCCAGTGGCCACCAGTGTACCCAAAGAAACCACTCTCCCCACCCCTCACTCCCCTGGCCCCCCCACCTAGAATAGCAATGAGGTAAATTCTGTCAACCACGGAGGGGTTGCTTTTCTTGTTCTCTTTCTACATCATCCTTCCCTTGGCCAACACGCACATCACGAAGTGAGGCCTGGAGCTCCCAAACACATCTACAGAATCCACAGTCTTTGGAAACATGAACTTTTTGAGGATTAACTTGTTCATGATGGACAAGATAAAGAAGAGAATATGTGGGGATGACTTGATTTGTGAAAAGCTCTCCAGCTACATTTTCCTCAGCAAGCTAGGAGATCGTGGACTTCATTCTACGTGTATTAGTTATGGAGCAGCTGACTTTTCCTGGCTTGTAGATTTGGTGTCAACTTCGAGGAACAGACTACGCAGAACCCCAAAGCCAACGGCCCCGGGGTACCATTCTATTTCAAGGTTTAATGGAATCAGAAATGAGGTTTAAAAAGACATGGGTAAGCTGTAAAATAAAGTAAAATTTAATGAAGATACACACACACACACACACACACACACACACACAAACCCATGGGGCCTGAAAACAATCATCAACACATTGATAAAACTGACAGCAGTATCAAGAAAAAACTATTTGGAGGTTGTTGGTCAGATTACTGGATGGATCAGTAATTTATTCAGCAAAATGTTGTAAGGCATTAGGAGTCACAAAAAAATATAATGGTTTTTTTAGTTTTGTTTTGGGGTCTTTTGTGGGGTTTTTTGGGGGAGGGGGTGGCTTAAAGAGTTTCCAGTAGAAACAAACACAAGTCAGCCAGATGAACCTGCTACAAAAAATTCTGCATTTCAGTGGAGGATGGACCAGACTGGAGTGAGGAAGCTTAACTCTTCCCGGGTTCTTTGTCTCACCCATCAAAGTACCTGGGTGCGACGAGAAGACACTCACACTTTTCACGGAAATATTTACACATTTCCACACATTGGTATTGGTCATTATAAAGTACTGAATTTTTAAGGACCTAAACACCGCAGGGATACATTTCATCTCTCTGGATTAAAATAGTGTCATTAGGAAGTAAGTTTTGAGCATAAATTTTACTTCTACATCCATTCGGAAACACAACTGCTGGGCCCACTTGCAGGAGACAGCGGGACTGAGGGGGAGAGAGTTCGCAGCCACGGTCCCAGAAACCTTATTTCTCGCCCCTTCTCCTGCCCCCACCCCCACCCCGACAGGTGACCCCGCAGGCCCCAGGGCTCAGAGGTGCTGTGACTAAGGACCATTGTGAGCAGCACCAGTTTGTTCGCTGGGTTATTAATAGGGACATGACGGCACGGGTGGGCCGACACCCGTCCCTCCCGCCCTCCCCGGGCAGTGCTCGAGGCCCTAATCGGGGCGCCGCGGTCACAGGGTCACAGCCCTGAGCTGAAGCCCGGAGACCACCTCGGAGGAGAAAGAACATTGGTCGAGAGGATGGGCTCTCCCGACGACGGCACAGAAAGCCGCAGCCACCTCTCCCCACTCTTCAGCAAACGCCGCGGGCTCCGAAAGGCGAGCGCGGGGACCTGGCAGGGACCACATCGCGGCGGAGGGCAAGTCCCCTCCACGCCCCTCAACAGCTCCCTGGCTACCGCCGCGGTCTCCTTCCCCGCATCACTCACCGCCCCGGGGCCCGGCCGGGGATGGAGCAGGAATTGAGAGTCCTCCACCGCCGAGCCACACCCGGCCCACAACGCCGAGGCGGTCCCTCCCTGAACCCGACCGGGATTCGTATCAGGGCTGTGGGGACACAGGTGGGACTCAAGGCTCGACAGCCCGCGGCCGGAAAACACCGCCCCTGTTCCCTTACCATTGGCTCCTCATTTTCCGCGACCAGAAGCTTCGTCCGTCCATAGGCTGACAGAGCTTTCAATCACCGCGCGGCCTGCTGGGAAATGTAGTCTCGAACCAGACCTCAAAGGACCCGGAGTCCCGGGATACCCGGGTCCGAGCCGTGGCAAGTACTAAGCCCAATTCTCCCTACCGCGGGAACTGCTCCTCTAGGGGTGAGCGAGGGATCTGCAAATGGGAGCCTCCCGGCCTCGCCCGACTGCCGCGGAACAGCCATGTACCACTCTGCCAAGCGCCGGGCAGCTCACCGCCTGGGGCTTGTGGATCCTCCTCTTCCAGGTCCCCCGTCGCCGAACGCCAGAGCCTGCGTGGTGTCTGTCCCCAGCGGGTTCCAGGGCAACTCACACTATGCATTAAGAAACCCCACGCAGAAGCCGTTAGCAGAAAACAGACGTTCTGCTCCCTTCCGTTAGCCTCACAGTTCCACTGGTTAACACGACTGTTAATAGCCAGAGGAGGCTGGCGAGGGTGTCAGATCGTCTAGGAAATGTGTATTGGGTTCCAAACTGTGGAGGCCACTGGGTCTTACGGGAGAACTAGTGTTCACTTTCGGACGGCCCTACCTAAAAAAAAAAAAAAATAGAAGCCTTTCTTTACAATGAAGACAACGCACCTATCTATTCTGTTTGTTGATTCAAAGCAATTTTTTTTTAAAAGAACATTTTATTTTTTTAAATTACCAGCTCATGACTAATGTAAAGACTCCTTAGTGCTAATTCAACCATTCCATCAACAAATGTATATGGTGCATCTTCCAACATCTTCCAATAAACAGTTGCTGGGAACGTTCTACATTCCAGACTGTTCTGGGCACTGTGGTTACCCCCAGGAATTATGTATGACCATTGCTTCCATGAAGCTCACAGGTCAACAGGGGAGAGAAACCATAGAAGATACTAAAATACCAAATAATATTGCCCCCCCCCAATAGCTAGGGCGTCTCATTTGTTTTTGCTGAATAGCTGCAGTCATCTGCAAGATAACCACAATAGTATTTGGGAGAATTCTGTCCACTACAAACAAATGTCTGGTTTTGCTTAGCGGATGTACTTTAGTTAGACAGAAATAGGGAAAACAAATCTCATGGGAGCCCAGAAGCAGCGAGGAACACCCTGCAAACCTAGGGAGTACCAGGCCTCACACAACTGGAACATAGTCCAGGATCTGGATCAACGGCATCTCGGGCCCCTCAGGGCTCTTTCTGCCATCAGGAAGATTCCATGGCTCTTCAATCAATCAGCAAGGAGTGTGGAGCGGAGACGAATGAGAGTCACTGAACCTGGCTGCGGCTGTCCGTTGCCTCTCTTCTGTGGTCTCCGATCCTTCTGCCCCAGCCTTGCTCTCTTGGGGCTTACTCACCACTAGCAGATGTGTGGGAAGAAGAAGGGGAGGAGAAGCTTGGTCTCATAATAAAAACAGCCAGTAGAGGACAAGAGGCCAGGTACTGCTGGTGGCCACTTAGGTAAGGCCTTGACTTATTAGGAGTTGGGTGCTTACAGGTGTGCCAGAGAGAAGGCAATGCAGGTGCAGAGGATGAAAAGAAAGATTTTTAGTAGGTACTGTAACTGGCTTTTTAAAAAATTTTTAAATTTTTTTTAAATTTTTGGGCGCCTGGGTGGCTCAGTTGGTTTAGCATCTGCCTTCCGCTCTGGTTATGATCCCAGAGTCCTGGGATCCAGTCCCACATGGGGATCCCTGCTCAGTGGGAAGCCTGCTTCTCCCTTTCCCACTCCCCTTGCTTGTGTTCCCTCTCTCACTGTGTGTGTCTCCCTGTCAAATAAACAAATAAAATCTTTAAAATAAAACATTTTGTTTTTAGGGGCACCTGGGTGGCTCAGTGGGTTAAAGCCTCTGCCTTCGGCTTAGGTCATGATCCCAGGGTCCTGAGATTGAGCCCCGCATCAGGCTCTCTGCTCAGCAGGAAGCCTGCTTCTTCCTCTCTCTCTGCCTGCCTCTCTGCCTATTGTGATCTCTGTCTGTCAAATAAATAAATAAAAATCTTAAAAAAAAAAAACATTTTGTTTTTAAAATAGTCAAATTTGGGTAAAATTTTTTGTTTATTTGATAGAGATCACAAATAGGCAGAGAGAGAGATCGGGTGGTGGGGTGGGGTGGGGAGCAGGCTCCCTGCTGAGCAGAGAGCCCGGTGCAGGGCTTGATCCCAGGACCTTGAGATCATGACCTGAGCCGAAGGCTGAGGCTTAACCCACTGAGCCACCCATGTGCCCCAACCTTAGTCAATTTAGAATTTAAACTCCCTTTGAGAGCTGCCTCTCTCCCCCAAGGGTCTCTCCTCCACTTACACCCTTTCCCAAGATATTATCGGGGTATAAGGGGAAGGCACTGGGGAAAGGGGCCCCAGTTCTCAGCTGACCTCCACTGGCTTCTGTTACCCACTCGTGCTCACCTCACCTCACCAGATCTTCCATGTCAGAGTCTGGACTCATTTCATCTCCACCGACCTGTTCACACCTGGAGGCCTGTTCTCTCTAGTACCTACTTGGGCTGCTGCCCAGACACCTTGGCCACAGGTCCTCAGCCATATGGTGACCCTTTGGGAGATCTCCTGGCTCTCAACTTCAGCTACTCTGCTTACTTTTACTGGAAGCACTTGGAGACTTCTGGAACCCTCCATGTTCCACAGCGTAAGTCTTGGGGTGTTACCTCTGACCCTCTTCCTGTTCAGTTCATCTAGAACTACCACATGTTTACTTGGGGATGCTCTCCGTGCCTGTTTCCTTTAACAGTTCAAAAAAGAAGCAGACCGATTTCTTTTATGTCAGTTTCCCTTTAGACCTCTCAGGGGGTTCTTAGCATCACTTTCCCGCTTCTCTTCCCCATTGGGGATCAATTCCCTGGCCTGCTTTTAATGGCGGAAGGCTGTCTGGAAAGACCTCCATAAGGAACCGCACTGGGCTACATGTAAGAGAAACCTGACCCCTGTGGCATTGCCAGAGGAGGAGCTGTTTTTCTTGTGTCTCAGGAAGTGTAAAAATAGGGCTGGGACAGCAGCTCTGGGCCACCACCAGGGACCCGGGCATCCTCTGTCTCCCTGTTCTGCCATCTTTAGTGGGTGCCTCTTGTCTTGGTTACTTCTAGCCATCATGTTTGGGTTTCTTGGTAGAATATCATTCTGCCATGAAATGCTATCACCGCTGAAATAACATAGAACGTGGAAAAATGAAAAATGTAAAAACAACAACTAAGAAACCATGTGGCAAAACAGGTGAAATACCCATTTGTATGTGGTAAATATTGGTCATTTGTAAACCCACCCACTAACCTTCTCCAAAAAAACATCACCTGATCTTTCTGGAGAAAATAGCACCACCCATGGTTCCGATGAGAGCAGGTGTCTTCTTCTACGACCCTCCCTCTGTCACAGGGTGTGGTTTGGAAGTGGGTACCGGACCCACACTGAACGGGTCGCAGCTCTGTGCCACCTTGCCATGACGATCTGTCACAGGGTGTACAGGGAACTCAAGCTGAGCCAGTCAGAGACCTGCCCCGGCACTTCTGAATCTGGAACCAAAGAAAATAAGACCTTTTCCTGCCTGCAGGGGACGATGGGAAGAGGCCAGGCTGTGGGGATGGGCAGCCGGTTTCCTGACCCACGAACTGCAGCCTGAGAGTGAGGGGCTCACAGAAAGCCCAAGGCAGGAAAGCAGTCCCCAGAGACTTTAAGCCTTTGGTCACTGAGGCCAGAAATAACTCTGACTTTTCCTTAAGTTTGTTTTATGAGTCAATAAATATTCCTGTCTTGCCTAAGCTAGTCTGAGTGGTAAAGTTCAGGCACTTGAAATTGAAAAATTCCCCACTGTTGCAGTATTTCTGTTAAAAAAAAAAAAAAATCCATGCATGTGAATATACACACACGTATATATACATAAATACGGGAATAGCTTTTGCTTGTCTGTATTTTACATCTTTCTCAACGAACCCATTAATCTTTTAATGCCGTGTTTTAGAATTACCCATTTAAATGTACTCTTTGTGAAGGGTTCAGATAATTCACGTAAAAGAGAATAAAATTAGAAATGAAATGAGCAGCTTTCATCCTTGCTCATAATAACAAACAGCAAAATTATTTGAAACCCTTTGAAGCTGAACCATTTCCAGGATAATTAACCAATTCAACTCCTTCTTGGTAGAGATTCAAAACAAAGCATCTAATGCCTAACATGATAAAAAGCATCAGGCAGGGATTATCACCAACTGATATGATAATGAGGTAGTTCCCTTAAGAACTCCCTCCTCAGAGAAGATACAGTTTATCTTCTGTAAAGATATGTTCTCATTTGGAGGAGCGCCTGAGATTTCCAGAAGGCTTCCCTAAAACCTCCTTCTAAGATCTGGAAACCAACTTGTTTCCTGTCTCTGGTAAGCCAACATTGCTCATAAAAGACGTTTCTATGTACAGTGAATCGTATGAGGAAGCTTTTGTGACCCTCACAGGCTGATTTTTGCAAGATAGACATTCTCTATTTAAAAATGCATGTTGAAATCACATATTCCATCACTGTGGGGAGTTTCTTATTCCCTCAAACAAAAAACTTTTATTTATTTTTATGATTATGTAAGTAATGGGCATTCATTTTTGAAAAATTAGAAATACAAAGAAATAGAGAAATCCTATCACCCACTAAAAAAACACTTAATATTTTGCTACATATCTTTCGTGTGTGTGTGTGTGTGTGTACTAAAATATTTTGGCTGACCGGAAACTACAGTTCAGATATTTCCAGGGAGAAGGGAGAATTCTTTCTTTCCCTACTCCATTTGATGTTCTTACGTGTACTGGCATCTGGTGTCTTACTTTTTTGTTTAAAGGAGAGAGGAGATTTTGGGGACAGAGGTGCCTTCAAAGAAGAGATGAAGGCAAGCTGGGGAACAGTTTGGTGTCTGGAGTGTTTTTCCAGCTACTTACGAAAGCAGACGAAG